AAATTGGAGTGATTTTCTGGTGTTGAAAAAAATCTACCTTGCATTTTTTTCTCCCAAAACCTCTGAAATATCCCAAGGATTTGTGTCTTTTGGATAGAGCTGATCATACAGCACATGGTGTTCTGTGCACAGAGATCATCTACAGTGATTTAACTGGAATCTGGAAAGGGAGGGACAAGGAAAAAACCAAGGGTTCCTGTTGCTTCCGTTCGGAGCTGACTTTGGATTTCCTGACCCGACTTGGGAACGTGCTGCTGACATCAGGCGTGAGAATAACCCGGGGATGGTGCTGCGGGAGCCTGTCCTCAGTAGATCTTTCTAGGAGATAATCTTCCCTCGGAGTTTATTCTGACAGGGTGTTGAATCTGAGCTGAGCCAGGCAGAGTTCCTGATTTCAGTTAATTTTGGCAGGGGAAAAAGTGATCACTGCGTATTTCTGTAAAAAAACCCCTGTATCATTTACCAGGTCTAGTGAAACAGTTTCTGAAGGCAGCTATTAAAAAAAAAAAATTAAAATCTTAATTTTTACTTTTTTCCCAGCTGAACTTTGGTGTGAAAAATGCAAAGGGTTTGAACTGATTTTAGGTGGCTTTGTTTTTAACTTACTCCGGCAGTCAGAGGTAGAATCATGGAATCACAGAATCATGGAATGGTTTGGGTTGGAAGGACCTTAAAGCCCATCCAGTCCCACCCCTGCCATGGGCAGGGACACCTTCCACTAGCCCAGGTTGCTCCAAGCCCCGTCCAACATGGCCTTGGACACTTCCAGGGCTGGGGCAGCCACAACTTCTCTGGGCAGAAGCAGGCTGGTTTTGTTTTGCCTTTTTTACCCGTTTTTCAAGCTGCAGTTGCAGCTCAGCCCCTGCAGTGTGTTAATGCCTCTCTCTGCTTTGCCCTCCACCACAGCCGCCGTGTTTCCCACTTTGTTTCCGTCTTTGTTTCCCATGAGGAGTCCCCAGCCTGCAGCTGACTCACGGCTCTCAAATCAATGGGCAGAAATGAGAACTGTCCCACATTTGGAACTGGCAGAAGGGTGCAGGCAGGTTGTGAGATCCCTTGATTCAGCTCCCTTGATCCCTCGATTCAGCGCCGCTGCCATTGACGGAATCAGCGGGTCTCCCCTTCCATCGGCGGGTTTGGAGTCTCCCTTTTATCTCCTTTTTGTGGGAACAAAGGGAACGCTGGCTTTGTGTTCTCCTGTGCTTTCATTTGTCATACATAAACGCAGCGTAACTTCATCGTTACTGAGACCTGCCAACTGTAATTGCTCGAAAATGAGATATTTCTGTGGAAACAAGGAGTGGTTGGTGGGATATCAGGATTTGAAATCTTGTTTTTACAGTTATAACTGAGAAAAGGAAAATTCTGTGTGCTAAATCAGCTGCAGGGGACTGAGAGCAGGAGTTGGGCTCGATGATCCTTGTGGATCCCTTCCAACTCAGGATATTCCATGATTCCATGAAACCAGGTGTATTTTGCATCTCAACCCCATTGCTGGATTCCTGTGTGGTGAGTCTTTGGGACTCAGCCCATATGGATAAAATTTAGACTAGATTACAAATAGATTTAATCTTGATTAATGGAGAATAGATCCATAGATAAATACTGTAAGTTATGAACAGATTTTATCTTGATTGATGGAAAACAGATACATAAATAGTGCGAGTAAGAACACACACATCCTTATATGCTCATAGGCAATTATGGAGTGCAGATAAATATTTTAAAAGGCCTTGTAAACTAGACCTGTAGTAAAGGGCATGTGTTAGAGAAGGATTTCATGTCCTTGTTAAAATGGGAACAATCTCCTTTGTAGCTCTGTTTTTCCATCTCATTTTGCCGACAGTAAAACTAAAAATCTCTATTCTCAATTGCTTTGGTGCTGTGGAGTGAAACTGAGTTTTGGAGTATCTGGGCTGGACAAAAGAGCATCTGAAATCCTGGTGAAATGCTTAAATTATTCCCAAATGATCCCACATCCCCAGGAGAAGAGCAAAGCACGGAGGAGGCGACGGGAGCCGGGATGTTGGAGGAGCCGGTTCCCGGCTCCCTCTCGGCGCCGCGTGTGTTGTGACAGCTCAGGAGATTAGTTTTTCATGCTGGCATTCTGCTCCACTGAGTTTACGGGGATGTGGAAGAGCAGGTTTCCCCATGTTGGGAAGAGGCCGTGTGCCAGAGCACGCTCTGGAGAAAATCACCCCTGGTTTAAGGCTGGTAGCGGAAACACAAACTCAAGTAAGAAAACTGGTTTTGCACCATTTTTCCCCTGCCCCAAAACTTATTGATACTTGAAGTACTTTCAGGGAGGAGATTATCAGAGCTGTTTGTTTATCCTGTTATATTCCCATGTTAAAATTTCCCTAGCTCGTTCTAAAAGCTTTATGGACCAACTTTTGCCAGAAGAATTTTTAATAACTTATTTTCTGCGCTGGCAACGGGCGGCTGTTTTCAAAATTACTCCCAGGCAAAAGCAAAGCCATATTCTCATTTTAATATTCTGGGAACATGTCCTTGAGCAGCTTTCGGGCTTCAGCTCTGTATATTTTTAAAGCTGAAAAAGGGTTGTGTTTTGCTGCTCGAGACTCCACATAATTCCCTGTCAGATGCTTTATTTTGATTGTGCTGTGAGCTAGAACTGGGTGACACGGCAGCTATAATTAACTCTTCCATCATTCTCCCATTCACAGAACATCAAACCTTTGACTTACTTTTGAATTATTATATCCATGTTTCTTCAACTGGAAAAGTGATGGGGATTTCCCTGAAGAAAGGGGGATTGTTCTTGCAGCCATTTTTTTTCCCTTTCTAAAAATAGTCAGGAAATAATGACTTTTTCTTTCCTAGAATGTCTCAGAAAGTCTTACTTTGCTTAGGGATGTGAATCCCTAAAACTTCCTGGGAAAGGGGGAATTTTCAGCATAATCCTGGTTTCCCAAAGTTGGGTGGAATTCAGACTCCTTTGTAGAATTTGTCACCCTGTTACACTCCTGCTTCATCACTTGGATGTCTTAGGGTGTTACCCTGAGATAATATTTTTTCCCCGATGGAATGCTGTGATTTTAAGAGTGTGTTCCATGTTTTAAACATCCTCATAAAGAAAAAAACCTAAAAAGAGCCTTTTCCCCTTCAAAAGCACTGTTAAAGTAGAAATTCAGTGCTACCTCTTGCTTGAGAGATACAATGTCAGCACAATGTAATATTTTAAAGGCTTCGGGAGTACGGAGTTGGTTGTGATATTGAGCATCAAGGTGTGTGAGAAGGGAAAATAAAAATGCACACGGTGCAGAGGCTTCTACAGCCCTAAAATCCTATTTTAGCCTCCCCCAGGGGCTGGTGAACCACGTGGAGCTGCTGCTAGCTTGGGAATTATTTTCAGCTTCTCCCCCCACATGTTCTCTGCCCTGTGTTTGTGTGTTTAAAGGCGTTTCTCTGTCCTTTGCCAGTTTGTTTCCCAGCCGCAGGCGATGGCTGATGTCACCCCTTGAGATTACTGGGGGCCTGTTCACGTGGGGTTGGGTTTGTCCTCCTCTTCCCAAAATGTTGTAGAGAAGAACTTGAATTTAGTGAGGATTTGAGGTGCTTTAGCAAAAGGTGGAGGCAGAGGGAGTGGGATAAAGATGAGGGAATTGCTGCATGCTTCACTTCTAGTGATTAAATAATTCATTAATAAAGAGGGGACAAAAGGAGGATGCACAGGTGAGGCAGAAATAAAGGCGGGTCACAAACTGAGCAGAAAAATGAGGCTGTGAAGGGGCATCCTGGTGGCAGAAGATTCATTGCTGGGAAACACAGGGGATGGGAAGGGAAATGCTATTTATTACCTAGGAAATGAGGGGTTGGGTGGTGCCGGGCGGGTGAAGGGCTCAGCTTTTCACTCCATTCCTGGCATGGCTTTATTTTCTCTCCTCTCCCAAAGCACCACTGAACTTCCTCCTCCAGGAGGAGGAGAGTGTGGGAAAGGCACCAACGTGTGAAGTGACTCGATGGATGGGAGGGTCGTGATGAGGGTGAGACCGGGAGGAGAGTTTCTCATGTTTATTATTACATCTGCATTTTGGCCCTTTTTTGTCGTGGTTTATTTTGATCTGGTGTGTTTTTATATTCCCATTGGATTGCTAGTGAGTATTCTGGGACAGAGATTTGCCTTCTACGCCTCCAAATATATTGGGGACAGAGCCCAGGGGCTTTGGGAACGTGCCATAGTGCTCCATTACACCAAGAGGTTCAGGAAGAAAAGCAGGTTTTTTGAATGCTTGAAGGAAAACACAGGCAAAAAAGTAATAGAAGAGCTCACAAAATCAAATCATGGAAATGCTTAGAAGCCTGAAATGGCTTCCCTGAGAAAAGAAATGGAAAAGTTAAGTGGTTTAATGGCAAGAAGGTTTGTAAGAAGCCTATGAAATATTTAAGATAAGAAAAAGATAAACCTGCGTATCATTTTTTCTAATATGACGTGGAGAGGAACATAAAAATTCAATCAAGCAGCGAATTTCGAGACTGACAGGGTTATTTTAGTACGTGGCACATCTCCCCCCCCCCACTTCCAGCCTCTGAGTTGAAATTCCAGCCGAATTTTTTCGAAGTCTGCTCGTGTAATGGAGAACGAGAGTCTCTGGGGTTATGTCAGACAAAATTATTTTTAGTGCAGTTCTGAGCCCTCGTGCCTCGGGGAAGGAATGAGCCACTGAAGCAGGATGACGTGTCCCCACTGGGCAAGTTTAATAACATTATTCTCTGTATTTCTACCTCTCCTCAAAGCATCCAATGCTCCGCACCGGCACGAGGCCGCACGTTAGATCGACTCCCTCTGTGATCTAATATGCAAATCCTCCTCTCTTGTAATTATTGTTTATAAAAGGCATTCTCGGGGCTGGATTCTTCATACCCTGAAGTTGGAGGTTGAGGCTGAGCCTGGGAATGGTGTTTGCTGGTTCGTAGAGAATCCCAGAATGGTTTGAGTTGGAGAGGACTCTAAAGATCTTCTCATCCCAACCCCTGCCATGGGCAGAGTCGTGAACATCCACATCTACCCAGGCCATTTGTGAGCAGTTGACCAAAAAACCACGATTTTGACACGTGAGATCTTTTCAGAATACAGACCCTTTTGGGAAAGATGCCTGAGAGCACAATCATAAGCACAATAATACTTCTTTTCTGCATGTCAGAGCTCTGGGATGGATTTTGAGGCTCCATCAGACCTGTGCATTCTCTCTATGTCTCCAGTCTTCCCATCCAGCTCCCAAGCTGGTCCAACATGGTGTTACACTCCATTAAATCTCCACCGTTGTCATGCCTTGTAACAGGTTCTCACTGACATTTCACCCATATCCTGCTTCCCTGCCTGTCTCCTCTGAGGGCTTCGGAGGAGAATATATGTAGAAAGACTCTAAATTCCTGTGAAAAACCAGGCTGTGGTCCAGGAATCAGGCACAGGAGGGAGGCTGTAGCCAAGCAGAAGCTCTGATATTTTGCATTTTGAATCAAATACCAATTCCTCGGTGGCTTTGCCCCTCCCTGGACTCATGTTGGTTCCCTCTGTGCCGTCCCCAGCAGTGACTCCAGCAGCAGCTCCAGCGACGAGTCCCCGGCGCGGTCGGTGCAGTCCACGGCCGTCCCCGCGCCCGCCTCCCAGCTGCTCCCGTCGCTGGAGAAGGATGAGCCCCGGAAGAGTTTTGGGATCAAGGTTCAAAATCTTCCAGTGCGCTCAACAGGTACATTGCACTTGGGAAATAGGGGGAACAAGGGATAGGGCTGGTTATGTAACCTGTAGTGAGTTGAGTGACCTGTCATGGCACGGCAGCCACGCGGGGCCTCCGAGGACGGGATTATCTTCCCGCTTCTGCCTCGGTTCCTGTGTGACAGTGGGAAAATTGCTTAATTAGTGACCATCTGTGAGGAGTCCTGCTGGTCCCAGCTCCGAGTCTTGGGCACTTGGGCAATCCCAGCTCCTGGAGCCGGTGCTTTCAAACTGCAACGGGGGTTTCCCCAGGGAAAAAAATGAAGCCATCTCCATTTTTTCATTTAAAACTTGGATTGTTTATTCTCACCCTCCTTCAATTTCTTTTTTAATCCAAAAACTTCAAGGGTTTCTGTTGAAGTTTGAGTGCTTTTGAACACCCCTGAGCATACTTATAAAGGCAGTGGATATTGCCTGGAAAATAATGCAGGAAACCTGTGCTGAGAACAGGAGAGATTCCACAGGAAAGAACAGCCTGGGATCAGTTGCGGAACAGTTGTAACAGGATTCATGGATGCAAAAACACTGGCTGATTTAAAATACCTGTTAAGCTTGTGAGCAGCACACCTCATGTGGTGATTTTCTTCCTGTAGGTTTTATTCCTGTCCTATTCCTTAGAAGGACACGATTATCCCACAGATCCCAGATTGTGTGGGCCTGAGTTAGATTCTGCAAAATCTGATGGCTCTGCCTGGTTGTATTTCTGAATTGACTGAACTGAATGCCATATGACTCCAGTCTCCATTCCAGATGCCTCATCCCAGCTTTGGAAACCTGCTGTACTCAGTATCCCTGTGGGATTATTAATGAAGTATCACTGGTTATTTCCTCTTCATCTACACCTGGGTGTCTGTTAGAAGCCATAACCATCCACCACCAGCTTCAGTGGTGTAAAGCCTTGTGTCTGTATTTTCTTGGGTTTAAAAATCCAGGCAAAGTGAAAGATTAGCCAAAAACTTGGGACACTGGCAAAATTAACACCCCAAATTAAAAAAAGGGTGAGCACCAAGTTAAACAGGGCGAAGTCACATTTCAGAAGGACAGTCAGAGTCTTCATGTTTTTTATGGTGCTACTAAGTTGGTAAAGATTGGAATACTAATGTTTCTTTGCTGGTTTAGATACAAGCCTTAAAGATGGACTTTTCCATGAATTCAAGAAGTACGGGAAGGTGACGTCGGTGCAGATCCACGGCGCGTCCGAGGAGCGGTATGGCCTGGTGTTCTTCCGACAGCAGGAGGACCAGGAGAAAGCACTAAATGCCTCCAAAGGAAAACTTTTCTTTGGCATGCAGATTGAAGTCACGGCCTGGATAGGACCAGGTGAGTCCGTGCCCTTCTCCCGTGGGATATGGGACCGCTCTGGGCATGTTCTGTTGTGAAGAGGCAGCGTAGAAGTACGAGACACATTTTAGAGAAATACACCAGAATAAATTCAGAGCAAGAATTCTGATTGCTAAATTTAGATGCTCTTAGGGAGAGAGTCCAGTCCTAAACCTCAGAGAAGGAAACCTGCCATGCTCCCAAACACTGGGATGTGCTGGAAGGAGCGATCTCTCCAGCACGTCTTGGTGGAGCAGAGACCAGTGGGTGGTGAAAGCACAGCACTGAGTCCTCACAGCCTCATTGGGTCTCCTTTGAATGGAAACAACCAACGCTGGCTCCGTTTCTGAGACTGTGGCAGCACAGCCCATGTGAGTGACCAGTGAGAGCTGTAGCCCTGAGCATGTGGTGAAGTTCTCAGTCTGCACTTCAGTGGCTTTAAAAATTGAGTCATGAAAACAAACTCCTGCCACGTGCTGTTCCCCCACTGAAGCCTTACTGGAAATCATGCAATAAAACACATTAAGAGTAAATTTCCAGAGGAGCAGTTGGAGGATGAAGCTCCCTTTCACCTGAGGATGCTCAGATACCTCAGTGGAACATAGAGATTTGAAATCACACATAAATAACAAGTCAGAAGTGAAATACTGGGTATTTTTGTCCAAGATAGTGGTTATTCTCATTCAGATCAGGAAGGAGACTTGAGCAACCAACATGAACTGAACCCACATGAAAAGCACCTCCAGGCATTACAAATTTCTTGCTCTCTTTTATTGTAGAAACAGAAAGTGAGAACGAGTTTCGTCCTTTGGATGAAAGGATAGATGAGTTTCACCCAAAAGCAACGAGAACTCTGTTCATTGGCAACCTGGAGAAAACAACCACCTACCACGACCTTCGCAACATCTTCCAGCGCTTCGGGGGAATAGTGGTATGTGAATTGTGCCCTGGTGGGGGGGCACTGCCCCTCTTCCTGTACAGACCCATGAGATGCTAAGGAAGGTGGTAAATCATGGTGTCAAAGATTATTCAGTCTTTCTGTAATTATCTGAGTCATTCTTCTTGCTGGAATATACCTGAAAGCTTTTTCTTTGCATTCAGAGTTCAGCACATGGATATTGAGGGGTAACTTAGCAGTA